ATTCCTGCATCTTTGTGTTATTTTTTTCTCTTAGTGTTGTTGTTGTTAATTGTATTGTGAATAGTTTCTCTCCATCAATGGCATCAGAAACTTTGCTGTGTCTGTGAGAAATGTAGGAAGAGAGGGAAACACACATGGTCTGAAAAGGTAAATTGTGCTGATAGCATAGATGGGGAGCCAGGGCACACTGGCTGTGCCCTTGAGGGGATGGCACATTATACCCCAGAGCATGTCTGCATTTCAGCACAGTTCTAGAAACCCTCACTTAGAGGCAGAAGTGAGACAGCAACTCAAAGTCATTTTCCAGCGGCAAGATTGGATTGAAGGAAGACCAAGGCTGTGGGGCCATAAGGTCTGGCTCACCATCATCTTATAGTAGCTAATGTTGATGGGACACTTAAATCAGACCAAGACTCCATACACCCCAGTCATGCACTAGCCATGACCCAGTTAGCCTTTTAATTAATCTAAGCCCAGGCTAAATGTTAGGGCTCAGTTTCCCAGAGGGGATAGCATAAGGGTAGCTTCTCCTGGGGTATCCTGTCTGCCTACAAAACTCTAAAAAGAACCCCAAAGGAGGAACCAGTGTGCCTCCCAGTCCAGTCGCTGGATAAATGACACTGAGAGCCCCTGAAGGTGTTAAGTAGCTAAAAATCCAGCAGCAGAAATAAAATGGTCCCGGCCTTGCTCTACCATTGCTGATGATTCAAAGTATGTCCATATGGCCAGGATACTTGGCTCATGGCTTTCTTCCTCCTCCATATAGCTGGTCTTTTTTCTTTTAATTATTACCTAAGGAATTTTAATAAGCTTTTTTTTCCTGCTGTATGGGATTCAGATATTTAAGCTTTCCATTACATCTCCCAGCCTTACTAGAATGTTGTCATAGAGACTGAGTAAAGGCCCTGATTCAGGACAGGTTTATGTTCCTGTGAAGTCACTGGGACGTCAGCATTTACTTAATCAGGTCTTTGTGTGCTCTGCCAAATCAAGGCAGAGTTAAATGCTTAAGGATTAATGCTTAGATTCTTTGGTGAATGAGGTCTGACAGAGCAGGGATGGGAGGAAAAGTTGGCTTCCCTCTCTGAGGCATGTGGGATTTTATTTTTTGTTTGTTCTCAGCGCATGCTCTTTCACAACAGCACACATTTGATTTCTCTGGGAACAGGGTGACCATGATAGGATGGCACCCTTCTGTGGTGAGAAAGGGTAAGGTAGAAGGTGCAAGGTGGAAGGGGCAGTGGTTTATCCTGCTCATGCTAGGATTGCAATCTTCAAGCTGTACCTGTGGAGGAGGCTGGATTAGATGGCCCTTGAAGTCCATTTCTATGATTCTAGCTACAGACCTGATCCCAGCACAGTCAGGAATGTATTGACTAGGGGTGGGGGTTGCAATAATAGCGAATGTTGTCTGCAGTCTGAATTGTATTTAGGTTGCAATGCTAAATGAGGATGATGGGTCAGTAGGTTGGAGCAAACAATGCCTCTGCTCCTACTCCCCTTTGAAAATATGGTTTGGTAAATAGTAATACTGCTAGCCAAACAGGCAGACTAAGTTTAGAAAGGAGCCAAGTGCTTAGCATTCTGTTGGTCCTGCACAAATAAAAATAGCTGAATTATTTAGCTTGCATAGACCTTTGGAGTTGAAAACAGGATTGATGTGTTTTGGAATGAGCTTTGGGTTCTTTGTGTGCGTAGAGCAAACTGCTTGGAAACCTGAGGGAGGAGGTGAATGGTTTAGTACTGGAAGTGTTTAGTGGTGGTTCATGGTTGGCTCGGTGTAGAAGTGACCCCTTTCCCCATTGCATTGTCTTGGTATACAGACGTTGCCTCTTACTAGAGCTGGACATTCAAGTTGCTGAAACCTGAATGTAGAAAGAGGTGGAGACACTAGTTAACTTGAACAGAAAGAGAAAACAATGGAAAAGCTGGAACTTTTTTCACTGAAGACTGGTCGACTCCAGATGTTTTAAGAAAACAGCTGCAATTGCAGCTCACTCATTAGAACTGCATATGCTTACACTGTGGCTGAATTTGACTTTCTGGGTAGGTTTTACTCTTTCTCTCTCTCTAGTAGTTCTTTCATGAAGCATTCAAGCAAAGGGATGGTTCTATCTCTGATATTTTTCTTCTTTATAATCTCAGGGAACTATCCCTCAGAAATTGGCTTGAAAGAAATTCCATTACTAAACCTGAAGGGAAAGTAAAACCCTTTTTTTTTCTTTAACCAAAGAAACATAAAAAATAGAGAGAGACCTCCCCCTGCCCTCAACCTTACAGATACAGAATTAAGTCACGTGTCATGACTGTCAGGCAATAACAACATCCTAGGGAATTCCACATTTCTTTCTACCTTTCATTCTCTCTTCCTAGTTACTGTCACTTTTACATTTTGATTAGCTAGCTTGTTGAGTGGAGCAATTCATTCACACTAAATATTGCTGCTATCCCGAACTTTAGGGGACATCAAAAACTATTCTTCTCACTACTGCTATTCATACTAATTAAAGTATATCCTGTCAGTGGCAGCAGTGCAGCATTTAAATTGTGAGGTACAGAGTGGGAGTAAGTTTCTGTGTGCTCCTTGTGCTTCTGTAGCATTTAACTCCCCTGAGTTTTTGTTCTCTTATGGATCAAGACAGTGGTGCATCTCCTGCAGCAGTGAAGCCTCTGCAAGGTTGGCCAAAAGCAATGGAATTGTTTATGGTTTGTGAAAGACTTGTACATGTTACTGTGGTTTGACAGCCCAATAAAGGAATCATCTGTGCTGCCTACAGCCAAATTCTCAATACCTGTGTGCAAGGTCTGAGTAATTTTTCTTGTTCAGGCAACAGGCATCAGGGGATATAATCTGCTCCTTCTATGCAGAAGTATTTGTGCCCTCCTCCAGCTGGGCAGTACATTACAGTGTGCAGGTTGGGTCTAGGTCTCCAAGTTCTCTCTATGGCCTGCCTCTGTGCATTAAATTGCTTTAGTTGCTCTGTATTTAAGACCTCTTTACTTGTGACAGGACTGTGCCCGTGCATCTTTAGTCTCCAAGTCCTTACGCTAGCATGTTATCTTTGAAGTTAACAGGACTTTTGCCTGGGTATAGACCAAATCAGGAACACAGGGCTGGGACCTAAAGTATCAGTCACATTGAGCAATTTACACTTCAGAATTTTAAAGCAATGGTCAAAAAGATTGTGGTAACAGTACTGAAAGCAAAGGTGTTTTGGCACCTTGCTAGAGTAACTTTTTAGAGAGGCATTCCCTAGGCTATCCCATGTTCTAAGTACATGGCACATCAGCCCGGAGGGCTGGAAGGACAGCCCTTCAATATATATCACTCCACCATCCAGAGAACAGAGCAAAGCCCAGTGTAGAAGCAGCTTAATTGAAGAAAACGGGTTAGAGCTATAAATAAGCTAACCAAGAACTTAACCCTGCTGATACTTCTTCTCATGAATAGCTTTACTCCCAGTGAGTTCAATGGAATCCCCCAGGTGTACAAATTTCATAGATTCATAGATATAGGGTCGGAAGGGACCTAAGGAGATCATCAAGTCCAACCCCCTGCCCTGAGCAGGAGAGAAAACTGGGCTCATATGACCCCAGCTAGGTAATTGTCAAGCCTCCTCTTAAAGACCCCCAAGGTACGAGCCAGCACCACTTCCCTTGGAAGTTGGTTCCACATCCTAGCCACCCTGACTGTGAAATAGTGTCTTCTAATGTCCAGCCTGAACAACTAATGTCTCAAGCAACTTATGGCTGTTATTCCTTGTTACTCCAGGAGGTGCACAGGTGAACAGTGTCTCTCCCATTGCCCACTGGTCCCCCCTGGTAAGTTTGTAGACAGCCACCAAGTCCCCTCTCAACCTTCTCTTGTGAAGGCTGAACAGGTTCAGGTCCCGTAGCCTCTCCTCGTAGGGTCTGGCACACAAATTTGCTCAAGTGTGTGAAGGATTGAGCCCTAGAAGGCACAGTCTGGTCTGCAAAAGTATAGTCCTTTCAATGGAAAAGGAAACACACAGGTTAAGAGAGAAATTTGAATGTGGAATTAATCTGACTTTCCAGGAATCTCATGAGGCATACGATGAGGCTTTGCTTTCTGCATCTGTAGAATAAGATTGAAAATAACTTTCTCCTGTACAGGTTAGCTTTCTCCTTCCAGTTTTAGCAGTGCTGCTATAACAGACTATTCATGTGTTTGAAGATAAAAGTTTTTGTTTTAAATCTTTTGCTTATCATAGTTAATCTAAGAAAGGCAATACTAAAGGTATATTTTTTTCCAAAAATGATATTTTTTACTGCACTGATAAATATTGTGACATCTCTGATCTTAACGCTTTAGCTGTGAGGGGAAGTATGTGCAGATTCACTCAAACCTTGTAAATACTTATGTGTGGGTCTGACAGCCAGGGACTTTTTTTTTTCTTGCTTAAAAAAGGTTTCCTCGTTGAGACAGATAGCAATGGAGCAACAATGCTGAGAGCAAAGGGAAAGCTCATCCCATTTCTAGAACGTAGCCAAGGAGTTTCTGCAGTACTGGCACAGAGTTGATGACAATGCAGGTGTATGTTGATTTTTTTTCCAGCAAATTGATTGGAAGGGAGTAAGGAAGTTAAAGAAAAAACTTTGGTCTGGAATTCTGATCAGAAATGTTATTCATCTGTTATATGGCGCCTCTTAGTTTTTTGTTTGCTTGTTTGTTTGTTTTTCTATATCAAATGGTTCTAGGTTTGTTTGCCTGTGTTCTAGGTTACTCTACGTGTGTTCTAGGCCTGTCTCTGTTCTAGAGCTCATTGACTCCATTGGAAGCAAACCCACCTGATCAGAATTCTGGATTCTGATTGGTGTTCAAGTTATCCTGGAATTATGGTGGAATACCTTCGGTTTTTTTAAAGAAGGATTTAGATACACTTATATTACACAAACTGTGACCTAATGGCAATAATTACCTCAAATGTGGGCATTC